AAAATTTTGTTTCATAAACTGTGAATTTGATAAAATTTAAAGTTTTTGTTGGACCACTGTTTGATGTGGAGACGACATACTTGTACATTCTTATGGTACGAGTATGGAAAGTTCTGTCGGAAACACGAATTGTGATTTGCTGAACGATTCACATTTCAATTTTTTTCAAACCTTAACTTGTTATTTTTGTTTAGCACTTATTTATTAAATTTCTATACTTTGAGCACTATCCGTCTTTGATATTTTAATATTTATTTATTTTTTATGTACTCATATATTATTATATTATATATATTTTTGACCTCTAGTCACAGTCGCTTATACTATTCCTCAGAGGGGCCGTGTTACTCGTATGTTATCCCGTGCACTTTTTAATCTTATGAAATTTGTAAAAATTTCCTTCTCATTCCGTCGATATTTCCATTTATTTTCATTGTCGTTCATTGTTTAGGTGGGAATTAATTTATTTTATCTCATCCGGCGATGAGCATTTTACTCCGTAAATTATATTCATGACGACCTTCCTATCGTGTCGTTTTTTCGTTGGACCTCCGCTAATGCATTTATCAACAAATCTATATTAAATACACCGCATCATTTCGTATCGCCTAATTTTGGTACTAGTTGCCTGTACCAAAATTTTGGTACTAGTTGTCTGTAACAAAAAGTTCTTTGCGAGCTTCGTGATTGTGGACCCGTTTTTCAATGTCCAAAATAACTGATACTAAATTAATATACCTTTGCTGTTGTGGATGTAACTGATGTAACATCCCATGCATAACTGATAGCCTTGGATATACATATATAGTCCTGCTATAATAATCTCGCTCCTTTGCCTCATTGTTGCAACTGGGTCACAACAATGTGCTTGTAATTATTATTTTTTTTTTGCTGTAGATGTTGTTTGAATTTTCGTACTTCATAACCCCCATAAATAAATCCAGTGGGGTCATTCCAAATGATGCTTCACTCTATATTCATTAGTGTTACCTCATAATACCTCAGAAGGCCACTTAACGCAAGTGTTCTGAAACTTACTCATCGCTGGCAGTGACCATGAGTGTGTTCTTGTGTTATCAATTTTGTATTCTCGTTTCTACCCTGAAAACATGTTTTGTTTTATTTGTACCAATCTATTAATTATTCGGAATGTGTGCCCGTATGAGTTATTCCGACCCACTTCACACTTGTGGCAGCTGTGTTTGTTTTTTCCCTGAAAACATGTTTTGTTTTATTTGTAGTACGGTAGTAATTTTAATTATTATTATTTTAATTTGTAGTAAAACATGTTTTGTTTTATTTATACTAATCCAATAATTATTCGGAACGTGTGCCCGTATGAGTCACTCTGACCAGCATGACACTTGTGTCAGATGGCTTGCTGTGCGGCTGTGTTAACAGCTGTAGTGCTCGCAACTATTGCAGCGCAGGTGACACTCGTATTTCTTTCTAAATAAAGCCAAAATTTTACGAAGTTAAGGAGATGTTATTGAAGTTCGTAGGACTTTTTTCGATATAATTAATCGTAACTTGATGTATTGTTTCTTATGAATTAATGCTCAATGCTTCAATCTTTTGCTTTTTTAAAGATCTCCGATCTTTCGTTTTTTTTTTGGCGTTTTACGTCTGATATTCTTTCTTTGTTTCCTTTAAAATGTCATTTCGCTTATTCAAATCATTTCGAAATTTTCCGATTTGAGAGACTGCACCTGTTAAAGTTAATTTTCTAATTAACTCTTTCTTCTCAGCTCTATTTTTAGCGCATTTTCTCACTTATGGAAAAAATGCACTATTGTGCTCGCCATGTCTGTCTGTCCGTCTGTCTGTCTGTCCGTCTTTCCCTCCGTCCGTGACCTCAAGTTTTCGTCGACGAGAAAATGCGCTCTCTGTCACTCACTGCAGTGAGTACTGAGTTATATTTTTTCTAACTGTCCTCTATGAAGGTTGTCGCGCAGTTTCCTCTCCTTTGTTCCCTCTGTGGATCCCTCATCATTCAGCCCGTCGGATCCAGGTCACTATTGATGAGCCTCAGTCCAGCTCCTCGTTCATAATTCACGTCACGGTGGAACTTCGGCGTGCTTTTCGATCGGCTGACCTAAAAACGAGTTCATTTACTAAATTGCCCTTTATTAAATGGGTTAATGCTTGCATATTTACAATTACACCTGTACGACCAGGACTGGTTGAAGAGACCGGTACGTTGTTGGGGCTCCCAAAGTCCAAACCCAATAACCAAATCACAAACGATTTCTATCCTTTACAACGTGACCGCATCAAGTTTATGGATTAGTTAAAACTTATTTTTATGTCGCTTCGTCAGCGTCCAGTGAAAACGATAAAAACTTTGAATATGGTAATTAATTCATTCATATACTGCGACTCGCATTTATTTGTTCATCTCTTTTATGCTTTTTTTTCCACGTGTATTTATTATTATGCATAGATTGATATTAATTACTGACATTAAAGAAGAGCAGTTTTGTATAGTTAAAGCTGCATTGATCGTGAGAGCGGGTCACTGGACGATGCCTTGACCTCGACCCACATTCACGCATCTGTTCCATAGGAAGCCAAGGACCGGCCTGTGCACTAATTCCTGTAGCGAATGCAGCTGTATTCTTAAAGAATTACGTCCTATTTAGTTACGATGACGCCATTAGTTTTGTCAGCGGCCTTTGCACTCTACAGTGTAAATACAAAAGTTTTGATTCACGTGAAATTAGAGCAGACAAAAAATTTTATGCACATGTTGTTACTCCACGTAATTGCATGGTACGGAAACACATAAAAGATTCAAATACACGGTATTTTTCATCACAGAAGACGTGCTGCAAAGAATTAGGATGAACTTTTAATACACTATTGTGATATAATATTTATTTTTTAATGTAATTGACGGCTGAAGGACCACTATTCTTGTACATTAAATGGGGCACACATTACAGTAAATGGGTGTCGTCATGGTTGTAAAGCGTGTGTCCATGGCAACGTTCGGCCGCCCCATCCAGGTCGCGACTCTGACACGAATCTGCTTTAATCTCTAGATTGTCATCTCATGTTTATTTTAGTATCCTCGTGCACGAATGCTAATTTTACTAATTGATGTCTATTTTTCACATCTGGACTTGATCTCAACTGGTATTTGTTATTTTTTTCGCTACTGGCTGATGATTTGCTAACGGATCGGTTCGTCTATAAACCTCTTAACGAACAGCTCGAAAAAATTGCCTCATCAGTATAAGAGCTAAGCTTTTATAGTCTTATTTAAAAAAATTTTCTCCAATTTGAGTATGAGAAGCAATTTGTTATCGCTCAAGCGTGATGAGGCGCAAAGAAGTGCAGTTTTTGTGTAAAGGGCAATTGACCGTTTCAAATTTCTTGTTTAATTAGAGCGTGACGAATGCTTCTCACTATCATGGCAATGAACGTTCTCTCGGATAAAACTTTCGTTCTCCATAGCAAGCAAAAAAGTTTAATTTTCTAAATTTGTGCTACTATATACATTTCTTGCAATCATTTAACCCAACCACTTGTATGAAAAGCGACACGATCCCTGCTTTTGCGAACAATTTATAAATTCCCTGTTGTATCTCGAATACGTGTAGTCATGGGCCACTCGTGAGCCGCCGCTGATTTTCATGGTAAACCGGCCGCTGCTTGCGAGTTTTAACGTCATGACGGTGAAGTAGCGTCATTATTGCACCTCCTTCCCTCTTTTCTTTCTTACGCCTAACTAACTAAGCTAACTGGATATCTTACGGTCAGCCACAAGAAATTCTACCGTGGTTCGCTACTTAGTATATGATCGCCTGCTGTTGCATCCCTAGATTATTTTCCTGTTCTTGTTGCCATTTTGGCTGTGTGAGCACCGGCCACGTGGTGAATTGTTCACCGTTGTTTAATGCTAGTGTTTTTAGTTGTAGAACGAAACAGGTGCGATGTATTAAGCAATTCGAATTTATTGGCTGCTTGCCCAGAATTTTGCAACATTCATACGTAATATCTTCTATAAATAATAAGATAAACTTCCCTGAAGCAGTCAGTGTTGATAACGATTCACTGTTCAAATAGAGCCAATTCAGGTCAAGTACTAAACTTAGTTATTTTTTGGTGTAGCATCCTTTATAGAAGGGAATTTCATCGTTAACTTTGCTAAAATTTCGGGCTCGTGATTATGTTCGTTCGAGGTGCTGACTTAGGGGGGTGTTTGATTAGCGTTCTGCGTTTGCTTAGCGGTTATGAAGCCAGGCGTCTGTACCGGTCATGGGGAACTGCTCATGTATCGGAATCGTGCGGTTACCGGGACCTGTCATTGCACCGCTGGACTCACTGTGGCTACCGGTACCAGCCAATGCACATGAACCACTGTGATTATCGGGAGCAACAATTGAGTCTCAATCGCGACTTCAATACACTGGAATTACTGGGACCGGTCAATGACTCGGAATCACTGTGGTTACCAGGACACATCAATGTACCGGATTCACGACGGTTATCGGGACCTGGAAATGCTCCGGATTGGCTGTGGTTACCGGGAACTGCCGAGCCTGGTGGCTTCTAGCCAGGCCGGCAACACCAGATTGCCGCAATTGGTGGTCACTTTAGTGCGGACGGTCTCTGTTTAGGCTTTAGTTACCGTCATTAGTGGTGGACTGCATGCTGTTAGGCGACTCATCTCTGTCGATAACCGCACTCTCGTCTGCGTAATTTCTCGGCTCTTATTTGAACCACAGGAGGAAACATCGACGGCGGGATATTTGCTACCGAAATTCGGCCTCGAATTTGCATTGGGTTCTGCGATCACATCACCCATGCAATTCAGGCAGACGAGCTTCTGTTACATGATATGCACAACCTACTAAAATCAAATATCCCTGTCTTTTTTTAACTGCACTGAATTTATTTCGAAGGATGTGTGCTTCCAAGTTGTAAATGTTAATTTTATTTGCATTTTTGTCTTAGAAAAACTCTTTTAATTTCTATTGCATTTCGTGTTGCAGAAGAGTTCGTCGCGCACTCTGGCGCCGTGAACTGCCTTGCACTGGGACACAAGAGCGGGCGGGTCTTGGCCACGGGTGGCGATGACAAGAAGGTCAACTTGTGGGCGGTGGGCAAGCCCAACTGTATATTGGTGAGTGTGCTTGTATTTTGTTGATATTAGTGTGCTGTGGGCCCTGCATAACCAATACACGCAACTGATGTGTGTGTGTATATGTAGTGTATGTTGTTTACCTATTACCTATTGGTTTATATTTTGATCTGTACTTCGCCGTGGGCAAGCAGAATTGACGATCATAACTCTTGATATATCTAAGACATTATTATTCTTAAACTAAAAAAAACCTTACGGTTCCACAAACCAACCCCAACCTTACGGTGGGGTTGGAAAAAATAAGGGAAGCACCTGACACTTTGATATCGTAATTTTTGAGCATGTTACAAACAATGAAAGCGTGTAACCTCTAAATGGCAAACCACTCTGACTTCAATGGTTCAAACACTGTTTCTGGAAAGGAACGTAATTTATCAATATGATAATGTCCCGATCTATTAAGCTGGATTTATTAAAAACTGGCTTGAGGAACAGTTGAGCATCTCATTTGGCCACCACAATCACCAGACCTGAATATTATCGAGCGTTTATGGTCAGTTTTAGAGATGCAAGTCCGAAGTCGAGTACTGCTGCCATCGTCTTCGAAATAGCTGGAGGGATTTTAACTGAATAATGAGTTAAAATTCCTTTGGAAACCATTCACAATTTGTATGTAATACCTCGGAGATTTGAGGCTTTAATTGCCGGAAGAGGTGGACTACACCACACTAAAACATATTTTGTGGATTTCTCTGGGGTTTCCATTATTTTGTCTAACCTCTGTAATCCTGTACCTATATATCGGTGCCTGCATGGTGTTGTGTAGGTCTCGATCCTGTTATGGCCTGTACTTTCAAAAAAAGTTAAGAGATCGTAAGTTCATCAGCCAATCATTGACGACCTTTCGAGCAAAATCCACCAATCATAGACAAGAAAATAGAGCGTAAGTACTTACGTTCACTTAGCGAGTTTTGAAAGTATGGCCCCCGGATCTCGATAAGCGTCTTATATCTATTTTGCTACGAGCTTTTTCTGTGACATGATCTACCTTTTTCGTACCAATATTGCCAAGCGTTGTACGAGTTGAACATAATGGTCGTACCAAACAAAAGTTCGTGTTTTTTTTTAGTTATCTAGACCAACGATTTCTGGCAATCTGAATCAGGTGCAATTACAGTTAGGTATTAATACAAGTGTTATGTTAATTTTTTGTGAACATTACTTGCAACGGTTACTGGCAAAGGCCGTTTGTAATGTCATGTGAGCTAATCATTGCTAATTGTCGCCTCTCTGCGGTTCGTTGTGGTCAAGTTCTGTTTAGTGTACCGCTGCGCGAATAATTACTGCCAGTTATTATTAATAATTAATTAATAATAACTGGCTCAGCAGTTCCTTGTCTTTTTTCGCAATAATCTCACTTACTTCCTCTTAATCAATTTAGTTCATTACTTACTACTGAAAATAGGAATTTCTAATTCATTTTCCGGAATTATTATTTTATTTAATTTTCAATGCATATACTATTTTTGAATAGCCTTCGAGTGTTCGAAGACAGCCTGTGCCTCAAATGTTATTTTTACTTTAAATTTAATATACTTAAATATAATTTAAACCCATTTACACCAAGAAAACTTGGAAATTTTAACTGTTTTTAAGTATTTGTGTGCCCCAAATAGCTCGACATGCTCGTATCGAGCATAGTACAAAAATGCTTCGTGTGAATTCTTGAACGCAAGGATCAGAGGTAAACATATTTTTAGGCGCAGCTTAATCCCCTTCTTATCTTGTAATGCCCTCTAGCACCTTAGGAGTGAGCAGGGCTTACCTTAGCCACATTTGAAGGGGGCTTTATCCTTCCCCTCTCACCGAGGAGCTAATAATAATAAGCTATTCAACAACCTACAGACATTTTTTCGTCTAAGAAGTTCTTGGCCTACGCTTCGCTTACTTTAAACACAACTCGTCTCACTTAATACGGTCCGTAAACTCCCTTTATTGTACAGAATTATGTACTTGAGCATGAATTGTACATTATTTTGTCCAGTGGTTCTGAACTACTATGATATAAACGTCTTGCGGACCGGAACAGACATCACATTTATGATTGGTAATGATGTTATACAGCAAGAAGATTGCGAAACATTCAAACGATTGCGTTCTTCGAAGTAACAATACTTGATCGTTTACATTCCGCGTGCGATATGACAATCAATTTTTTAGTTAGATTCATTTATTTTTTCGGTTATTTAGAATATTATGATATGTTTCGCAACTACAAGAAGACTCATTGCATTATACTAAGAATTACAACAGTCCAGATGTTGTACGCTCTAGCTATTGCGCCACATTTCTTTCTACCGTTGCAAAAAAACTCCTTCGGTTGGGAAAGCCAAGCCAAACGCATAAAAACGTAAGATCTACCGCCGGAAATCGCGCTCTTAAATCTACCGCGCTAGAGCTAACTTACCTTCTTCAAAAACTGTAGTAGATTTCAGTGCCTCTAATGTTTGTGAACTACGCTAGGGGGATGCGATTCTATCGGAAGACGAGTAGGTACTCGTTTATGGAAAAAATTCATAGCGTTGTATTGTAGTTTTATCTACTTTGAGCATTGTAGTTTTACCTACTTTAAGTATTGTACTTTTATCTAATGTAAGTATTGTAGTTTAATCTACTTTTAATTAAGTTAGATGCAGGTGTCCTAATTGAGTGGTAATTTTGCGAATTTACGTTACCATTGGCTTTGATTTGCAAACAAGGGGCCATACTGTCAAAACTCGCTAAGTGAACGTAAGTACTTATACCCTTTATGTTCTTGTCCATGATTGGTGGATTTTGCTTGAAAGGCCGGCAATGATTGGCTGATGAATTTACGATCTCTTAACTTTTTTTGAAAGTATAGGCCCAGATTTAATTTGCGGAAAAGAAGCGTATACCGAATATAAAGTCACATCATTTCAGTGTAGGCTTATCACGAAATTCAATATTAATTTCGCGTGCATTGCAGTCGCTGTCGGGCCACACAACAAGCATCGAGTGCGTGCGGTTCGGCGGGTCCGAGGAGCTGGTGTGCGCGGGGTCCCAGAGCGGGGCCCTCAAAATATGGGACCTGGAGGCCACCAAGATCGTGCGTACTCTCACTGGCCACAAGTCCGGTATCCGGTCCATCGACTTCCATCCTTACGGGGACTTTATTGGCACGGGGTCTCTTGACACAAATATTAAGGTGAGTGTGCTGATAAAATGTGTATCAAATGTATAAATTTGTGTGTACTTACAGTAAAATTACGATGAGTGAGCGGACACTGATATTATGCAAGATGAGTGTTCGAACACAAAAATTAATTTGATTAAACATAGAACTATTTTATTGGTAGTTTGTATTTAGGCATTTTTCACAGCTAACTGCATTTATCATTGTTAAAAATGGTTTAATTCTAAAACCACTTGCTTCCATCGACTAAGTGTCGCGATACTAGGAAATCATTTCACCCTCGCCCGACCTACTCCTACAGCTATGAAACGCGATACTAGAAATTTAACCTTTTCACCACCTGGTACTCCACATGGTTACGTGACAACAATAGTCGTTATGGATAAGAGTGATACTAGAGGAATAATATAACCTTCGCTCTCCCCCTGCTCCTAACAGTTATGGAGCGCGATACCTACTAGAAATTTAATCTTTTCACCACTTCTTCTACTTGGTTACGTGGCTTAGTTAAGAATGATGCTATAGGAATAATATAACCTTCCTTCCCCCCGCTCCCCACAGTTATGGAGCGCCATACCTACTAGAAATTTAATCTTTTCACCACTTCTTCCACTTGGTTACGTGGCTTGGTTAAGAGTGATACTAGGAATAATCTAACCTTCGCTCCCCCCGCTCCCAACAGTTATGGAGCGCAATACCTACTAGAAATGTAATCTTTTCACCACCTGTTCTACTTAGCAACGTAAATACGTTTAAGAGTGATGCTAGGAATTATATAAATTTCGCTTCCCCCTGCTTCCCACAGTTATGGGACATCAGAAGACGAGGCTGCATTTTCACCTACAAAGGGCACAGCGAGGCCGTCAACGGCATCAAGTTCAGCCCCGACGGCCAGTGGATCGCTTCTGCCGGGGAGGACTCGATCGTCAAGGTAACGTCATTAATAAATTAATGGTTGGTGATAGAACATGATTAATGAAGTGGGATGTAGGATGATTCAAGCTAGAAAACGTCAGCCTTCACACAGTCTCACTTATTCATCTAGTCATAGATGCGGCACTCATTCATTCAGCCTTACTTATGCATCTAAGTTTAACTTACGTAGGTATTCATTTAAGCCCCACTTATCCTGTCGAGTTTAGACTTTTTTTTCTTTAAGTGGCTTTTAGCACGTTGCCATTACCCTGTTATTTAATTAGCTTGTATGCGTCATTAGGCGTTTTTGAGGCGGGTGATTTCATTTTATTTCATTTTTTTGTCTTCAATAATTTTAACTTATAACCAAAGTATGTTCATTGCGCTTGGTTATCGCTGCTGTGCGTGCTAGAAAGATGCATACGTTGTTTATTATTTATTTCTATTTCATTAGTACCTTTTATATGTTTAGATTACGACCCCAATATTATTCAGAATTATTATTCGTGAGTTAACGATTCATGTTGGTGTTGCCCTGCATTTGGACCTACTGGCTGGCAAGATATAAACGGCGTTCATGTTAGTCGCGCTTCGATTTCTAAATTTATTTTCGCGATAATTTTGACTTTAAATCCTTTTAATTTATTTACTGGCAGTGAAATAATGATTAATATTTCCAGCTATGGGATCTGCTGGATGAAAAAATATAAACGGAGTTCATGTTAGTCGCACCTAAATTTATTTAGTTGTGCAATAATTTTGACTTTGAACCCCCTTAATTTATTTCCTGGCAGTGAATTAACAATTAATATTTCCAGTTATGGGACCTGCGGGCTGGCAAGATGTAAACGGCGTTCATATTAGTCGCGCTTCAATTTCTATAGTTCTTCTATAATTTTGACTTTAAACCCCCCCTAATTTATTTCCTGAGTCGCACTCCAATTTTTATAGTTCCCCGTTAATTTAGATTTTAACCCCCTTAATTTATTTTTCGGCAGCGAATTAACGATTAATGCTTGCAGCTATGGGACCTGCTGGCTGGCAAGATATGAACGGCGTTCATGTTACTCGCGCTTCAATTTCTATAGTTCCTGTAATTTTGACTTTAAACCCCCCTTAATTTATTTCCTGAGTCGCACTCCAATTTTTATAGTTCCCCTTCAATTTAGACTTTAACCTTTCTTAATTTATTTCATGGCAGTGAAATAATGAGTAATATTTGCAGCTATGGAACCTGCGGGCTGGCAAGATGTTAACAGCGTTCATGTTACTCGCGCTCCAATTTTTATAGTTCCTATAATTTTGAGTTTAAGCCCCCTTAATTTTTTTCCTGGCAGTGAATTAACGATTTATATTTGCAGCTATGGGACCTGCGGGCGGGCAAGATGCTGACGGAGTTCATGGGTCACCAAGGCCCCGTGCAGGACGTAGAGTTTCATCCTCACGAGTTCCTGCTCGCCTCCGCCTCCCTCGACCGCACCGTCAACTTCTGGGACCTCGAGAAGTTCCAGCTCGTATCTTCGTCCCACCCCGACACTGGTCCCATTAGGTCTAGTATTTCATCCATTAAATATCACGTTGTTCCTTCCATGTCATGATCGACAGTATGTGAAATTACTTGATTTTTTGTGAATTGTTTCTCTGGCCCGATAAGGTCTAGTATTTCATGAATTTAATATCACGTTATTCCTTAAACGTCAGGATCGACAGCATGTGAAATTACTTGATTTTTTTGTGAATTCTTTCACTGGTCCCATAAGGTCTAGTATTTCATCCTTTAAATATCACGTTATTGCTTCCACGTCAGGATCGACAGCATGTGAAATTACTTGATTTTTTGTGAATTGTTTCTCTGGCCCGATAAGGTCTAGTATTTCATGAATTTAATATCACGTTATTCCTTAAACGTCATGATCGACAGCATGTGAAATTACTTGATTTTTTGTGAATTGTTTCACTGGTCCCATAAGGTCTAGTATTTCATCCTTTAAATAGGTATCACATTATTCCTTCCACGTCATGATCGACGAAGAATTTACTTAAGCTCCGTGGATTATATATATTGAGACAAACACTTTATTGACCGGGATTTGACTAACTCGCTGAGCTGTGTACTCCGACTCTTCTTCTTAAAACATCCATCCATGAGGAGGAATAAAATAGTTTACTTTATTTGGTATCTGCTTCAGCCTAATGAATGAAATAGTTTAATTTATTTGGTATCTGCTTCAGCCTAATGAATGAAATAGTTTACTTTATTTGTTATCTGCTTCAGCCTAATGAATGAAATAGTTTACTTTACTTGGTATCTGCCTGAGCCTCATGTATGAAATATTTTATGATAAACACTTGATTAACCGAGACTCGACCACCCACAGGGCGGTGTGCTTCGACCCGTCAGGAGAGCACCTGTACGCGGGTTGCCCGGACGTGCTGCGACTGTACGGTTGGGAACCCGCTCGCACCATCGATACTCTGGCCATGGGCTGGGGCAAGGTGGCCGACCTCGCCGTGGCCAACACACAACTGGTGTGTTTTTCTATCAATCTAGCCGCTGTGCGACTGTGTTGGCTTCAATACTATTAGTCTAAATCTGGCGTCTAAATTAGTCTAAATCTGGCGTCTAAATTAGTCTAAATCTGGCTTCTAAATTAGTCTAAATCTGGCGTTTATTAGTCTTATTAGTCTAAATCTGGCGTTTATTAGTCTTAATAGTCTAAATCTGGCGTCTAAATTAGTCTAAATCTGGCGTCTATTAGTCTAAATCTGGCGTCTAAATAAGTCTAAATCTGGCGTCTAAATTAGTCTAAATCTGGCGTCTAAATTAGTCTAAATCTTGCGTCTAAATTAGTATAAATTTGGCGTTCTCATCCGGTGATCCCAGTTTGTGCTAGTGTATCTTTCGCCATCCCATCTTTTCTCATTGTCTTTAATGTGTGGGTCCTTTTTTTGGCCAGATCGGCGCGAGCTACCAAGGCACCAACGTCTCCCTGTACGTCGTGGAGCTACGACGTCTACAACAGACACAGCTGCAGCGAGGCTCTGTTGCAGCTGCTGCAGCACCTGCGCTCGACAACACCATGATGATGATGCAGCACCAGTACGGTACGTTGGCAGCATTAGGATAGTACCTATATATATTGGGATGATGCAGCACCACAGTACGTTGGCAGCATCTGTACAGTATATGTATTGGGATGATGCAGCACCAGTGTGGTACGTTGGCAGCATCTGTACAGTATATATATTGGGATGATGCAGCACCACAGTACGTTGACAGCATCAGTACAGTATATATATTGGGATGATGTAGTACCACAGTACGTTGACAGCATCAGTACAGTGTATGTATTGAGATGATGCAGCACACAGTGCAGTACGTTGACAGCATCAGTACAGTATATATATTGGGATGATGCAGCACCGCAGTACGTTGACAGCATCAGTAGGTACAGTATATATATTGGGATAAAGCAGCACCACAGTATGTTGGCAGCATCAGTAAAGTATACCTATGGGGCAGCGCACTGGAAGGATACTCATGAGATGCCATGTCTATTTTACACGGTTCGATAAATTTGTTTAGCCTGTAGCAATTGTCATCGATATATTATGTCATAATTATTAAGAAAAATCACTCGAGCAGGGCCTGGAGGAGTTGGCGGTAGCAACTTCCGTGCTGGAGCTGCCGTGCGCAAGAGCTTCAGTAAAGACAAGGACTACGCCAGGGCCAAGTGAGTCGCAAGCCCGTACGCCAAGGCCAAGTGAGTCCGGTGCCCGTACGCCAGGGCCGAGTGAGTCCCGTGCCCGTACACCAGGGCCAAGTGAGTTCCATGCCCATACGCCTGGGCCAAGTGAGTCCGGTGCCCGTACGCCAGGGCCAAGTGAGTTCCATGCCCGTACGCCTGGGCCAAGTGAGTCCCATGCCCGTACACCAGGGCCAAGTGAGTTCCATGCCCGTACGCCTGGGCCAAGTGAGTCCCATGCCCGTACGTCAGGGCCAAGTGAGTCTGGTGCCCGTACGCCAGGGCCAAGTGAGTTCCATGCCCGTACGCCTGGGCCAAGTGAGTCCCATGCCCGTACGCCTGGGCCAAGTGAGTCCCGTGCCCGTACGCCAGGGCCAAGTGAGTCCTGTGCCCGTACGCCAGGGCCAAGTGAGTTCCGTGCCCGTACGCCAGGGCCAAGTGAGTCCGGTGCCCGTACGCCAGGGCCAAGTGAGTCCCATGCCTGTACGCCAAGGCCAAGAGAGTCCGGTGCCAGTACGCCAGGGCCAAGTGAGTCCCGTGCCCGTATGCCAGGGCCAAGTGAGTCCCATGCCTGTACGCCAGGGCCAAGTGAGTCCCATGCCTGTACGCCAGGGCCAAGTGAGTCCGGTGCCTGTATGCCAGGGCCAAGTGAGTCCCGTGCCCGTACGCCTGGGCCAAGTGAGTCCCGTGCCCATACGCCTAGGCCAAGTGAGTCCCGTGCCCGTACGCCTGGGCCAAGTGAGTCCCGTGCCCGTACGCCAGGGCCAAGTGAGTCCCATGCCTGTACGCCAGGGCCAAGTGAGTCCCATGCCTGTACGCCAGGGCCAAGTGAGTCCGGTGCCCGTACGCCAGGGCCAAGTGAGTCCCGTGCCCGTACACCTGGGCCAAGTGAGTCCCATGCCCGTACGCCTGGGCCAAGTGAGTCCCGTGCCCGTATGCCTGGGCCAAGTGAGTCCTGTGCCCATACGCCTGGGCCAAGTGAGTCCCGTGCCCATACGCCTGGGCCAAGTGAGTCCCGTGCCCGTACGCCAGGGCCAAGTGAGTCCGGTGCCCGTACGCCAGGGCCAAGTGAGTCCGGTGCCCGTACGCCAGGGCCAAGTGAGTCCCGTGCCCGTACGCCTGGGCCAAGTGAGTCCCATGCCCGTATGCCTGAGTCAAAGGATTCACGCGCCCGATTTTTTATCCACTCATTGCTCGTCGTTTGGTCCACGCTCACTTTCATCCACGCTCACTTTCATCCACGGAGTAAGATGTGGCCGTAAAGGATTTTAGGCTCTCAGGCTTCGTCGCATTGGAATTGCCTGTAAATTTATTCCATAAATAATTTCATTTTCAGTAGGTAGGTCTCTAAACTTGATTTTATTTTGGTCTATGGAATCAAATGGCTCTACGAAACCTTTATCAATGGATCTAAGAATCTTTTCTCTTTCATTGTCATGTGTCATTATTAAGTGTCACTGTTTATGCGTCATTGTTATTTGTCTTTGTCGCGCGTCATTATGAAATGTCCCTCATGCGTCATTGTCGTGCGTCATTGTAAAGGTTTATCATTATTGCAGCGCGGAGCAGATGAAGACAGAAGACGCGTCAGACACAGGGGGCGAAGAACCCCCTGAAGAGGACCCGCCTCCCAACATCCTGAACCTCAACGCCCACCGCGAGGTCTTCGGCGCACACAGAGAACGTGAGTCGCTTACACGATAGTAATACGTGTCGTATTACACGGTCACGGTGTTGTATTACACGGTCACGGTGTTGTATGACACGGTCACGGTGTTGTATGACGCGGTCACGGTGTTGTGGCAACAGCGACGTTACATCCTTATATCGACAATATGATGCGATGCCGTAAATTACTTCTGCTTGGTCATTCACAAACATTAAAACCCTTGAATTTTTTAGGAATTTCAATGACTTAAAACTTATATTACTTGAAATATTCGCATAAATTGCTAGCAGCTTAGCCTTTTGATCGATCGTTTGATTGATTATGTTTTACAAAATCCAGTACATCATTTTTCGTTTATTTGACAAACTGACACACATCACAGTTTATGAACATAGAAAATGATGTAAACAAAAAGTAAAATTTCCACCGGAAAATTTTTCATCATTGGATAAAAGCAATGAGCAGTTGTAGCCATTAACTTTCCTATTGCTGGTGCCGCTTCTTAAGAGTTAAGATGTACTTGCATCCTATTAAATTCCTTACATTTAAGTCGTTATCTTTGTTACTAATTAACTGCGTGCTTAGATATCGTTGATCTTTTCAGTTTGTTGCTTGATTGCGTTTGTTTGCTCACGTTTTTCTCTGAGATTTGTGCTGACATTCTTGGGCATCAGTCTTGTCACGCGCTTATTTTAGACGTGTTTTGCAGTGCAAAGAACGCCACCTCCTGAACCTCCTTCGTGGTCTAACAACAACGGTGAGTGACTTCATCTGGTCACTTATACTCATTTGTTACTCATATTCAATTACCACTCATTATGTCAGTTTCTTCATTTTCATTTCAATCATCTGTCAATGTCTCCCTTGTGACTTCTATTAATCTTTCACTCTTGCAGATCATATCGGTCGTTTAAATTTCATTTCTGAGCTCTAATTTCAATATTTCGTTCTATTTTTTTCCATGTGATCGTTCTTTTTCCAGTCCATCATTATTTTCCCCAGCGTAATTTTTCTATTTATTCTCTGGTGTTTCATTCATTTTGGCTCGTTCTTGCTGTCTGTATCTCATCACTCTTATTATTGATCAATATTTATCTTGATATTCTCATACATTGTAAACTATTTGCTCATTAGATTTACTTACATGTGGTCATGGTTGTAACGGTGAGTGTTTTCTCGTGTGCGATGTTACTGCGTGTTAAACAACATTTGGTTTTTAACCCTGCTTGCTTTTACACGTTTTCAACTTGAACTTGAGTTGCTTACATTATGATATTTCGAGTTCAGGTCAAATATTTCAGCCGCTGTGCGTGATCTGATATTTGTGTGCAACATATCTGCTTTTATTTCAACGGACGAGAAATGCCGATCCTTCGTATTGTCTGGAGTTAATATCCGTCTACGTACTTGTATTAAGTCTTATTTTTTCATTTATTTTCAAATTCCTTAAGTTGATACTACCTTTACTATTAGAACAATTCCTCCTGGATAGTCTTCTTTGAAGTTTTCGTGTTGTGTTTCATGTTGACAAGTTTTTTTAATGATAGAAAATTTTTATTATCCGGGAACGGTATAATAATTATTGTGTCCCACAGAGCCAGTGTCGGTGTCAGGGGAGGTGGTGGGTGGCAGCGCTACTCTACCACGGCGCGCCTCCACCTCCACTCCCTCCACCATGCCTGCTGCCCTCCACCACAGACCCTTCACCGCACCCAGAGAGTCCCTCCACGCCTCACCCATCACCAGGTTACACTTTGGCCTTCATTATATAATATTTTTTTCTGTAATTACCAACATTCTTTTTATTATATCAGTATCATTTATTCATGTTTCACTGCACCCAGAGAGTCCCTCCACGCCTCACCCATCATCAGGTTACACTTTGGCCTTCATTATATATTATATTTTTGTAATTAACATCCTTTTAATCATATCGGTTATTTATGTAATTATTTACACGCATTTGCCATCATCTCAGCATTTATTTATGTACCTTCATCATGTGAAGTATTTTTGTAGTTACCATTGTTTTTATCTTATCGGTTATTTATGTAATTATTTATACGCATTTGCCTTCATCTCATCATTTATGTATATAGTTATTTATGCACAAGTAAATGTTTTTTTCCTAATTATGATTGAATGGGTCGTAATTTTATCCTGCAGAGCTTCATTTAATTTCGCATGCAGCACTTAAATATCTGGTATGAAGTTTTTAATTCATTAATAATTACAATAAAAAATTTCCATTTAAAAAACACTGTTTTCCATGATTTTGTTTGTGTTTATTACGAATCATTTGGCATTGATTATTACATGTTAATCTTTTTTTTAGTTAAGCGAAGCTGTCTTGTGTGTTTGCTTATTCTACATAAACTATAATTATTCTACATAAACCATAATTGCACAAAATTTAAAGCATCCGTTTTATCTGAATTCCATATTGTTACTTGTGCGTTGTTGCTGTTTCCTTTCTTCTCTCCAAGTGTTCTTTCTAATTATATTTATCTGATCGATTTATCGCCAACGAGAATTCTACCCTCCAGATCCCGAGTTCGCTCTGTGCATTTGTGGTTACTCTTCTAGACGTTCAAAGCTCGGTGGTGATCATGGACCTCTTACTTTCTTGATTTAATTTTGCTCTACTAATTTTTGAATGATTTTGTCTCAAATTTCTAGTTGTATTAGTGTCTCAGACATGATTCATATTCATATATCTCATAGACAACAGTGTTGCGCTACCGCATACATAACTCCTAAATGCACATCGAGTTTTTCCTGTTCTATTGCTCTTTCTTGGAGGTGTGCAATCCTTGTATTATCCTATATCCTTGCCTGTCCGCATGGTAATTGCGTGTAGAGTTCTATACTTCTTCTTACCAACTTTTACGCTCCAGCCTCTAATGAATGTTGGTTCATAACATTCACATCCCCACGTTCGTGCTCATAACCTCTTAAAAAAGTTGGATCTTTACGTCTTCTTCTTACACTTTCATTTCCTTTTATCCTAACGGATGTTGGATTCAAACTTATTCGTTTTTCACTTTCATATCCATTTCTCCTAACAAAAGTTGGATTCATACTTCTTCTTTTTCTTCCACTTTCATATTCTTTTCTCTTAACGAAAGTTGGATTCAAACTTCTTCTTCCGCTTTCATTATTAGTTTCCTAAACGAATATTGGTTCCTAATATATAATTCTTCCACCTTCACATCTTTTTCTCCTTACGAATATTGGATCCAAGCGTCTGCCTTTACCACGTTCATGCGTCCGTGGCCTCGCGCCGCTAGGAAATAACCGTCTTAAATAACCCGTGTTTAAATATTAACCGCGTTTAAATAGCCCCCTTCCCATGTGTTATGACCCCCCCATGTCCCCCGCTTACCCTGGTGTGTGGTGCAGGTCAGTGAGCAGCAGTACAGTCCCCCAGCAGGTGTCAGGGGGGCGTAGCGCCCCACCTGAGAGACGTGCAAGCGCTTACGACGCACCTGCCATCTTTACCCCCTTGTGAGTGTCTCAACAACTCGTGATAATATTCACTTTTAGTCAAATCGTGATAATATTCACTTTTAGTCAAGTCGTGATAATATTCACTTTTACTCGAGCGGAAATTCGGATATTCGGAAATATGGCCCCTGAACTCAAGCCTTAACTATTTACTGTTCAAATGAAAGCTAGCGAGACATTAAAAAATACTGCTCCTGAACTCAAGCCTTAACTATTTACTGTTCACGTAAATGTTAGCGAGATATTTAGAAATACGGCTCATGAACTCAAGCCTTAACTATTTACTGTTCACGTGAAGGCTAGCGGGATATTTACAAATACAGCTCCTGAACACCAGCCTTAACTATTTACTGTTCACAGGAGTATTATTTAGCAGTACCGGTATTAGAAATACTGCTTCCGAATACAAGTTTCGCTATAACTGTTTAAAAATTATTCTGCTCCAAGCAACACTTAGGCAATAGCAGCCTGATCATTTATTTAGCTCACAAGCAAAAAGTTTTGGATAAATCATAGTTCATAATTTAGTAAAGTTGCAGGAGTTAGAACAAAGGAATCGAGTGCTTCTGGTTTAATTTAATTCCAAGCTATTTGAAATGTCCGTTTGTGGCACGAAACGCGACCATTTAACAAAAAATACGACCATGAAAATTCAAACATTTTGAAGTGCAACCTCTACGATATTTTAGCAATTAATTACTCAAAATTATGCGAATATTGGCGGAGCAACAAACTGAATTTCGTAACTATTTACTATTTCAGACATGCACTCATATTCCTTTGAAATTTATGAAAGTTCATCATCTTTTCTCGCATTTAAATCGAAATTTCGCCTGTATTATTTATTTTTTCAAGTATTGTCCATAATCATAAGCTTGTGATTTAATGTTTTTGATCTGTTTTTGTGCTTGAATTTAAAGCCTTGTTTGTGCACTTAAAACTCTGTGTGCGTTGCCTGCATGTCTAGCGAGATGCCCTGCTTTAAACTCAGTCTTTTTTTAATGTTGCTTCTCTATGCGTATTATACGTCATGTAATTTATTCCCCAATTTGTCATTCCGTGTCTGTTGATCCACCGGGTGTCGTTTTGCATCTGTGTTTGCTTATAAGAAACTTGATTTTCATCCATATTGTATAAGTACATATAAAATTTTACTAGAATTTCCTATCGTGGATCCTAAAAAAAATTGAGTTCTCGGAGTGAATGATAACGGAAAGCGTCTGCATCGACATAAAATAGTGTAATGTCAATTACTGAATATTTACATGTGCTCTCACAGGTGTACCGTATATATAAACTTAGTGTCCTGCATCCACGCCTTTGATAAGACTATCACTCTTATCGTCACTTATTGTACAAAAAAGTGACTCCCCTTACGCACCAGATCGCACCAATCAATTTTGTAGGTGCGTGAAGCTCAATAATGAGACAGAATGGTTCACACAAAGTATCTATCTCCCAAATGCAGAAGCATTTCCGACATTATCGTCACAATTGATTTACATCCCTTGTAGGAAACCCGCTCATGGCACCAACTATTTTAGTTTGAGCGTGAAGCACGATTATTAGACCGCAATAATAAACAGGATTCTCCACACAACGCATTAATAAGTAAGATTATCCACGCAACGCTTTAATTAACAGGATTACCCATACAACCCATCAATAACTAAGATTATCCGCACAACTTATCACTAAGTAATATTATCCACACAACGCATCAATAAATAAGATTATCCACACAACGCATTAATAAACAAGATTATGCACACAAATGCCGTGTATTAATATTTGCCTGGCCACGACAGGGCTGGCAGTGACGACGCTGGAGCTCACAGGCCGCGCGCCGTATCCGAGAGTCGCCGTGCTGGCGTCGGCCTTCACGTCCAGCCCTCCAGGTACGTTGCCGACTGGCAGGTCTTGATAATATCATGTGCTATGTATCATAATATACCTAGTATAATGGAATTGTGTGATAATAAATATGTCATAATATAGTATAATGTCGTTGTGTGATGATTAATATCATAATTTTATCGATATTACTGGGCGTGTTCATGCATGTGGACAAGTGATAATTAATAATTGTATCAAATTACCTCAATATGAATCGAATAATGACAACTTGATAGCTAGCCTGAGGATAAATGAGTGATTGATAGTGTTAATAATCGCGTATGTGTGCACTAGTGTCTATGTTATAGTGATGGCTTTGCGTTGTTCTCTACATGAGATGTTGTGATCAGGTATCCCCTCCGCCACAGCCCCTCCGAGCCCCAGCTTGCGATGGAGGGATCAGCCCTGCTTCCCCCTACCATGTCAGGAGGAAGCTACTCCCCCCACTCTCCCCCCAACTCCTTACCCCAGCTCACCCCTCGCCCTCCTGACGTCACCAACACGAGCAGGTCGCTGACATCGAGCAAGCCTGACCTGACACAGCACCCGGCGTACCGGACGGGTACCCACCACAGTCCTGACCTCACCCGACAGGTGCTCGAGCAATACCATCATCACCACCACATGTCCCAGTCCGACCTCTCCTCCCACCGAACTCCTGTGATGATGAGCACCGCTCAGCAAAACTCCCGTAACTCCTACAACAGACAAGCATCTCAGCCGGTCGAAATTTCTTACATGGGTACTCCTAAAGAAGAGCACCGGGCATCTCATCCTAATATATCCTATTTAGGTACACCCAAGGATTATGGTTACGTTAGCAGCAAGTACAGAGAGGACTCGACCTCACTCCTGCCTGAGAGAGGACCTATGAAGTCCATGAACGCCTTCGACGATTGCTTGCCACTCAAACTTGGTGGCTTGTCGATGGGACAAGATCACGTGGGCACTTTAAACATCTTGTCTGAATCTGAAGTTTTAAGCTACATAGCTAAAGGCCACACGCCAATGTTGGGATCTCTTGTAAGCCGAGCAAGGCTCCTTAGAACTGCGTATTCCTTATGGCAAAGTAAAGATCTGCGATCAGCATTAGACAACACGCTGAGCGCAGCAGATCTTTCAGCTATCGTAGATCTACTAAACGTGATCAACCAGCGTCCTTTTATCTGGAATTTAGACATAGTGACGACTCTTTTACCTTCCGTCAGTCAGTTGTTGCAAAGCAGACACGAGTCTTACGTGACCGTGGGCTGCAACTCACTTAAACTTATGCTCAAAAATTTCGGGTCTATGATTAGAAGCAATATGTCGGGACCTGTACACTCAGTCGGCGTGGACATATCACGCGAAGAGCGCAGGAACAAATGTATTGAGAGCTACAACATGATGATGTCCATACGAGCTCTTGTACAGAAGCGTCAAACTCTATCCGGCACTCTGGGCCATACATACAGAGAGCTCTATATCCTCATGCAGGTCTTTGATTAATTTTTGCGGCGCGTTGAAATAGATCTTATAATTCTTATTGTGTACTAACGGATCAACGCACGGTGACTTTGGTCGATGATTACTTGAGGAATTTTGACCAGATCTCTCGTGGGGGTTTTTAACATCAAGGTTTCGGTGAATAATTAATCATCTTTCATCTTATAATTCTTTCCTACCTTTTCTAAGAGATGATAAAGCATTTTTTCGCGTGCTTTTAGCTTAGAAATAGTGCGAGTCTTTTTAAGACTTGTATGGTCTTTAAGTCATCCTATTTGTTGCTTGATTAGATCGTGGCTGATCTGTGATTAAATATTGCAACCAACTCGAGGAATTTGAAGCCGATGCTGCGCCTTTTATACCCATGTGTGTAACGTGACTGTGGAACATGTTACTGTGTCTCGTGATGAGATTAATAATTCATGCACTGTCCCGTGCATTCGTATTCGACAATATTTTTGAATATGTCATGGTGATTCTCTCCAGTCTGAGATGAAATACGGCAATGCATCATTTAGTTGTAAGCCCACATGCAGCTCGCTATTTCTGCTTCTCCAATTTAGTCTTCGTTTTATGAATAGAAGAGCTACTAGACAAGTCATAGAATAGTTAACCAATTTTGTAGCCACTTCACTTGCATCTCCGGTGCTGTCCGTGTCTTATGCTGGGCTTCATTTATCTCCGGGGTCTGCCATGTTCTGAATAAAACTTTGTTGTGATGATAGTAGACCAGGGTCTGGGATTTTAAGATGATACTGACAAGTAATGTCTTGCTGGAGCTGCTTATTTAACATCCAAACTCTGAGCGTTTGTGCGCGTTTATAAGCTTGTAGTTTCTTTTATAACTTCGACGCTTAATACACTGTTAGATAAAACGGTGAAAAAACGGTCCCACCGGCATCCTAGTGGCCGGTCGCCCCGTGAAAATAAACTGTTTCGCCGTTTTTATCAGTTGTTTTACGGATTTCTGGTGTTAAATTGGAATAAAAACGGTGAAACGGTGTTTCTTTTTACGTGCCGACCGGTCACTGAAACGCCGGTAATACCGTTAACGGTCATTTTTCTAACAGTGTAGATTTTCCTTGGTTGCAAGTTTAGTGGTTGGACCAAGTGTGAATGATACTAAATAATGAATAATTATTTTAGAAATGATAACTAATTTTATCACGCAGAACTCAGCATCCTTCTAATGCTGGTCAAGATCTCATTCCCGTTTATGTCTTCGTCACTTTTCTTAATTTCAAAACTTCTGTTCTATATCAATCGAACTTCTTACAGCGACGGTCATGTATTCGAGACTCAGCCCGTAATATATATTGGTTTGTAGCTACTCGTGACATACAGTGCTGTGCTTGTGAGCTACAATTCAACTATAAACATAGAATCTTTCTGAACACTTCCTTGCGACGAGCACGCTAGTGCAAGTTGAACTGGTTGCGCTAGTGTACTTGTCCTGGTTACGCTGGTGCGAGATGCACTGATAGGTCAAGAGTTGTTAATTCTGGTTATTCATCAATGTTTTGAAAGGAATACTTATAAATTTTCGTTGTTTACCTGTAATGGACGTGTTAATAATTTTCCCAAAGAATCATTGCGCTTTCATTTAAGTAGTAACATTTTTGGATCATCATGTATGGTATCAAAGGGACTTCAATAATGGAATTTATATAGATTAATTTCCGGGTTAAACCTTTTGACGCAGGAAATGAGCTTACATTCCTTAATCGCTTGGGATGTTTCACTGTGGTAGTCTATCAATTTTACTGTCAACTATGCATTCATGAGTTCGAAACCAAACACGTACAATTCTATGTTAACACAATCCTTTTTAGTAATCTTTGATGCTCGTTTGAAGTTTTCTCATAACGTGCACGTTTTCGACGTTGGACTAGTCTTATGACTGATCATGCTGATAGTTGTTTTTAAAAGGATATTATTTAGTGCATTTGATGCCTTCTATTTTCTTGATACACTTTTTAGCGCATTTTCTAATTTATGGAAAAAATGCACTATTGTGCTCGCCATGTCCGTCTGTCTGTCTGTTCGTCCGTCCGTCCGTGACCTCAAGTTTTCGTCGACGAGAAAATGCGCTCTGTCACTCACTGCAGTGAGTACTGAGTTAGGTATATTTTTTTACACCGGTCTTGCGGAATAATTTAGATGATCGTTAAATTTCTCTACGTTGTTTCTTTCTTTTCATGTGAGCTTTAGATTGAAGTGGTGTGTCGTGATTAAAAATATGGATCTGATGTAATATAATTTTTTGACTAGCTTGGGTTAACGGACGTTGACAGTCAAAATTTTCGAGGTCTCGCGATTTTTTCTGAACTGTTGGACGACCATAATATTCATGGAAATTTATGCTACAGCAGTCATAATTATTTTGGTTCCATTCTCATAGTGTTATGCGAATTAATTTACTGTTATTTCTGATTTTGTTCACATATGGCCATGAGAGGGTAGGTGATCCTCGACTTCAATTATTGATTTTCTGGGGAAATAGATGTTAATTATCTGGAGGTGTTATTCCATATCATCATTGCTGCTTGGCACGCATTTCCCCAGTTTTCCTTATCGAATCAAGTATTTTTGCTAGAGATTTTGTGCGAACCTTGCCCTATTTAACCCGTAACTGGAGCATACAAATTGCGTCCAATCAAGTTGTGAGGCCTAAAGCTTTTGCCTACCGTGCACCGTTGAATGCACAATTCAAGTAGCTAAATACATATTAATTAAACTCGGTCCCTTACAGAATGATGGAGTTCAGATATACCCTGTAGTCTGTATTGTTCCTCATGTATGGCAACGAGAGACACGCTGACTCAGTCACAGTTGATCGTGTGTTGAATCTTCAAACGGACCTGCCAGATCACGAGCGTTACTAGATGTAGATGTGACGTAATCATCCCTCCAGTTGAACATATGAAAATAATGAAAATAAACTTCCCAAAATATACTTTCTCTCATGAAATTTTTACAATCGAATAACAATCTGTTTGTAGTTTTTTTAACTGTCCCTTGTAGCAAATTTTTATGTCCAAATCCTAACGAACTTTGCTTGTTTCGACGGTTCTTTCATGCTGCAAAATCTTTGCAGTAAAAATCTCATTACGTGTTCTGATACTAACTAGAATTGTCACGAGTTCTATTACGTTATTGAAGCGAATTGGTGCCTTAATTCACAATACACTGTCTTTTATATTTCGTAGAACTTGGTTAACTATGTTATCCTTTGGATACTAAGCCGTGTAAAATCAGGACAGCTGTAGTTTCCTGACGATCTAATAATATTCATTATGGTTCTCCATAAGGTTTTACAGATATTCGGAAATTTTCCAAAAGAGCTTTCCGTTCGATGTGAAATATTATCGGTCCGTTTCACTTGGTTGCGCAGGTAACCGTGCATCTAATTTTTTTGTTTGCGATTAGTAAAATTTATTTTTGAACGATTAGTAAAATTTATTTTTGAAGGTACTGATTTTATCGGAAGTCATACGTGAACATCTGTTAGTTATTGGCTAGCTGGTAAAGCTTATGGAGTAATTTTCTACTGCGTTCGAATGTAATACATGTATATTTGTACATACATACATGTATTTTTGTACATGTATGTATGTATATTTGTACATACATGTATATTTCCGGCAAACTGGTGAACAGTCGTCATTTTATATCATCTAAGGATGATTCCGATCTCTCATTTAAAAATACAAGGAACTGGGTTATACAAAAGTTTAGTCGAATTTTTTTATTAATTTTGTACACTTATAATATTGTGAAAAAATAGCAAATTTTCACTGTTCTGACTGATGCAAAATGTTACCTCGTTTCCGTTTTTCGAATAAAGAATGAATATTACGCAAGTGCAGTCACGCTGATATTTCGGTGCACGAATATAGCAGGTTTCTGTTTAGTTGACTTTTACGTCTTTAGTGCCAAATTTTTTTTAAAGTTAATGGTTTTGTTTAACGCACCTTGTTATTTCATTTTAGCCCCGCATCGTGTGGTGTAATTTTGTTTGACGATATGAATTAGTCGTTTTAATTCTGCCATAACAATAACCGGTGTTTCTTGTCTTGAGTTAAGTACTTTGCTTCATCTTGTGTCGTTACATTCACCGTATCGCTTTGGAAGATCTTCTTTTATCTCGTCACGTCCCGCTAATAAATTTCGTTTAAAATTTGAGGCAATGGCAGTTATAACCAACGCTTTATCACTGTCATACTACGCGTTGTGAACAGGAGATTTCCTTGACGAAGCACGGTCCCAGTCTCTGCCGCAGAGTTCAAAATTTTTTCGTTTAAGCTTCGACTGAAACTGAGAGAAAAACTCCAAGACTGAGATTTTCGTATTTCGTAACGGACTTACTTGAATATTTTTTATTACTGCAATCTCTCCACGTACAAACTTTCATTACACTCCATGAATTGTCTTTTCCTTATGTTTCATTGCCAATGTTTGCAATGTGGTTATTCCTCTTATTTGTATTAAATAATTGTGATCTCTTTCCTGGTTTTGATGTTAGACTCACGTGATTTAGAGTTAACTTTGCCTCGAGCTTGACGGACAATAACCACATTATTGTAAACTTTGCAATTCTTAACTGTTCGTCGTGGCGACATCTGTACTGACAGCTCAGTTCTGTCCACGTCTCAGTACAGCGTGAGAATGTGTGTGTAAATGTTCAAGAATTTATCGAAATTATTACTGAGCTTAATTACTAAATTGCAATGGTTTCAATGCAGAAACGACTAGAAAGTACGCGAGACTGCAATATGTTTAATATTTAGTTATCAGGCAATACTCATAAAAATGATACAGTCTTTGTCCAAATCTAGTTATATTTTTTTTGCCCTTGTGTGAGCCATCGCCCTTATCTTTGTTACGTCCGCCCATGCGGGCGTATCACAGATTTCTTTCTATGCCCGTGCTAGGTGTAAGAAAATGGGTCAATATTTGGACATAAAGACCCATACGTTCTCTGCTGTATAGTAGAGCATTGTTGAGTCAAGGTAGTGCATTATTATTGATGAAAATTTCATAGAATACTTTTATGTTCAACCATGCAGAGAAATATTAAGTCACATGCAGCGCGTTTACTACATTTCTCATTGACCATCTGAGCACATTTCAGTGTAAATGTGAGCGTTGATGAGCGTTTTTTCTGCCATTGCAATGCAATTTTTGTTATTGCACAGCAATTTTACACGTTGCAATGCAGTTATTGACACCGCAGTGCAATGCAAACACTGTATGCAATGAAGTATACAGCGCGTGCACTGTTAATCCTTTTTTTTTTATCTTGATTTACGGGTTTTATTTTGTGCCCTTTAACTTGTGATGTATTAACGCCTAACAAATCTTGCCGCTTTAGAACTGTTAAACTATAATTCCATATGATGTATCGTAACCAAGTCAATCAGAATGGAATTAATTTTATTGTTGCTTTGAATTATGGCTACTATGTGCATCTTTATTTGAATTTCTTTGGAGAAGACAAATCGAAATTATGTAGGTTAAACAAGGAAAAACAGTGAAGGCATGACTGCCGTTTGAAAAACTTTCCATCTTAACTTCGCGTTGAATTTGTTCAATATAAATGAACATATATTGGTCTTGTAATTGAAAGAAGTGACATGAAATGCTGCTCACTCAACATAATGCTTTAATTTGTTCAACCCTGTACATGAGTTTCGAATCCTACTAAACTGGAGACTATTTATATCATGTATATATATGTCCGTAACATGTATATAGACATTGTGATAATAAACGTTGTTGACCATCTTGAATTATTTTCCGTCCACATTTGATTAATAGACATGTTTTCCTAACTGAAAATTTTAGATTTTGGGGGGAGGGGTAGTTATTGAGGAGTAAGTGACTAAGTGTAGTAATTTAGGGGTTCTATCTGTATAAATAAATGCTGGCATCTGTGAAGAGTAAATATACATCTTGGAGAATATTTGTGTTGATCTAAAATATACTTTAGTTAATTTTCCTATTCAGTACAGAAGTTTATAATCTTGTATAATAATGCACGTTCTTGTGTATAAACCAACATTCCCATTCCCCCCTGACAACTGAAGCCACAGCCTACCGCAAAAAGTTATTACGTAACGTGCGAGTCGACACGTGTGTTTTGGTGTACACAGCACAGCGCGATGGCGAAGGGTTTCTGAAGGTCACTCTCAGAACTTATGCAATCAACGCTCAAGGTTTCGAGCATCTTTCCTAGTCATGTCAAATGATAATCAATGGGATCAGTTTGATGCCTAGCTCATCAGTCACGTATATATTCTTGCTTGGCGGTATCTAATCAAATCTATAATGCCGGCAGCGGCCATCATGTGCCAAGCTCGCGACTTCAAAAATAGAACTGCCACTCCTCTAGGTTTTGTCTTAGTTACAAACTAACATGATTGAACTAGTATAGTTCAAACATGCAAACTAAAATCGAAATTCTCATTTAAACTACCGTATTAACGGTATTATTTATATCCTACTCATGGTTATGCGATTTCTATGAAATTTACGAAATAATCCGATTCCTGATGGAAAAGTCAGGTGTTGAATTTAATTTTACTTCGTTTCAAGGCCCGGGCCCATGTATTCCACCTTATAGGAACCCAACCTCTTATATAACTTTTTGCCGAAACCGCGATGAAAAAAGCGACTAACGACTCGGTTTCCAACTCATTTCGTGTCCACTCTAACATAAGGGAAAAGGAACTTTTTTCGCGTTCACTCTGTTTTAAATGGGAAAAGTTCTTCAGTTAAGTATGTTTTTTCTTCATTTTACTAAATAAATTGATTAAGAGCCTTACAGATGCCCCGAATAAAATTTTTACTAGCAGGAAGTTATAGGAGCCTGCTCGGTGTGTAGCAGCACGTATGCATGCTTTTGAAAGTAATCTCTGCAAGCTTGCAGGCGGCAACAGTTATTCCTCTGAGTCTGAGCTATAATCTGAGCTCAGACTCAGAGGCCCGGAGGCCGCCCGAGCTAGTAACCCTTGTGCAGTCTTCGAGTGTGCGTGTGTTGGAGACGAGCTTACAACGTCAGTTGTCAAATATAGTGAAAAGCATGGCTTGTGCTTTTAGGTCGAAATTCTTATACGATAATAGTAGGGTCTTAGCTTCGACATCCTGGTTCACTTGCAAAAATTATTGTTCGACTTCTAAAAACAGGTAAAGGGAGATAGCGATTTGCTTTAAAATTTCAATCGAGATTTTTCGTGTTGTCGAGGAGAGCCGTTCACTGTTGCTGCTGCATAATGATTATTATATTACCGATTATTACGTAATAAAAAATGCAACTTTGCGTAAATTTGCGCGCAATTTCAACTGTTTGGTACCCTTGCCATTAGCAATAATAGTCATTACTCTGAAGAAAAGAAACCTAAGTAGTTATAAAAAATTTTAAACCTTGTCATTGCGTAGTGTCGTGTGACGGTGTGAATGAAATGGTCGTTTTTTTTTTATGTTCTGCGGTGAAGGTTTTCAGAATCAGAAGCATTTCATAGTTACAAATGTGTAATTAGCTAATTGGTTAGGTATCAAAGCGATGACAATCATTTTCATCTTGTTAATATTGCTACAAATAATATTATTTTCATCTTAAATTCTGTAATTGCATTCAAAATTCAGTACCACAAACCTAGCCACAGCACTTGCATTTCCAATTGCCATGGCAAGGTAGCGCCAATGGCGTACCTAACCGCGTAAGGAGCTATTGTGTCAGTACAAGTGTACAACTGTGCCGCAACTTTAAAGCGCGAGCTTAATAGTTTCCTAATTATTGAGTTAATAAAACCATTCAAATCGTATTTATGACTATTTAATTGGGGGTTAAATGCAGTAGAGCCTGAGGCTGTGCTGAGTATCAAAATACAGTACCTATTTGCCAATTCTCATTTGTCATTGACTCAGTTTGACTGTAGTCTGTAGGTCTGTAGGCTGTAGCTGTATTTTTTATAGATAATGCTGAAAAGTCCTTGTTCAAATTAAATTATATTACAACAATTCTCTTCAACTTCACTTCTTGTTTGTTTGTTTGTCTGCTGCAAATCTCATAATCAATACTTATTTAACACAATTCTACCACTTTAATTGATCTGAAATTTGCACACTTGTGTAAAGTCAGCAAGGACAATGCTTGAATCAATTGACAGAATAAATAATTTACATTTTTCATTTCCATTTAATTTTTTGAATAGAAGAACATGTTAAAAAATAATTATTTTTAAATATTTGAAAGTAAAATTAGAAATTCATTGTAGCTATATGTGTAATATTGGAGACACTGGCCTTTTTAGAAGTGTTGTCTTTAAAAATTAATTTTTAAATGTATATTTATTAATATATTCTTCATGGTCAATAACATATATATTGTATAGCCTATGCTGATGTTTGTCATTCACACTCATTTGATGGTTGTGAATTTTGACAATTAATGTTAGTTTATTCATGGTGGACTTTCATGATAATGGTACCTATCTTAATGTATTGTAGTTACTTTATAATCTAAAGTGAATTACAGTTAATGTTATTATTACAGTTATGAGCTTGTGGTGGTGGGTGGTGGAGCTGGAGGCTGTGCTGCTGCTGCCAAATTTTCTTCCAAGCTTGGAGCTGGTAAAGTTGCCATCATCGAACCTGCCGATGTAAGTTTTGTGCAGGAAATCTGTTTGTAATTAATATAAATAATATTAATATATATATAGAGCTAAAAGTACCATGTTGAAATTCATTTTATATATATATATATATATATATATATATAGCTTATCAGATTAGCTCATTTAGACTTATCTAATATTGAATTTCTTTGCTTTGAAAAAATAGTTAACAAGACTGAATTATAAAAAACTTAAAAAAAACTGGAATGGAAATTGTGGAAGCATGCTTTTGCCACATGAAATCCATGAGATGAAAGGTACAGGTATTGTTATCTGGCAAAATTATCTGATTGTTATAGGTATACAAGTAGTATAAATGGACAGTATATATATATATATATATATGGTACTTGCTTGATTGAGGTTCAGCATGTGCATGTAGTTTTGTATATTCTAAGAGTGTCTTCTGTCCAATTTTCTGTGTTAAACTTGCAGTCATACCAATGTAGTTGGATCATAATAGATATTGTGTGTTAAGATGTAAACTTTGTACTCTACAGATGCACTACTACCAGCCAATGTTCACCCTAATTGGTGGAGGTATGAAAACTTTGAAGAACTCCTGCAAGCCAATGAGCAAGGTGAACAATATATTTGTATATTATTTTAAAAGTCAGGTTTTCATTACAAATTTTTTGGTGATATCACAAATATTGTTACAAAGTAAAGCCTTTTACAGTGCTATATTTTGGAAAACAAAAATATGATGTTTTGAATGAATCAATTAGCTACTGGATATACCAGTATGTCGATTCATTCATTTGAATCAATTGAAGATTCCTCAGTATCATAGAAATTATTATAAATGCTAGTGGAAATACAAAAATTTACTAATTTACTCAATTTATTGCAGGTTTTACCAAAGAAAGCTGACTGGATAAAGCAGCGGTGCATATCGTTTGACCCTGACAACAATAAAGTGGTCACCGAGGATGGCAAGGAGATCAGCTACAAGTATCTTGTGCTGGCTCTTGGCATGCAACTCAACTATGACGCTGTAAGATCATCACTTGAATTAATAAAATTTTTTCTTATAGATTAAACCTGCTTTTGATTTGATTAATTAAAACTCAAATTTTTTGACGAGAAGAACATTGATGTTTGTGAATGCATTCCCATTTCTATACATACATGCTAAAATTTTCAGTGTTGTTTTGCTGATTTGTTTCTTAACGTCATACTGTCGGTTATTCAGTATTTTTTACTTATAAATTTGTCAGATGACATTAAGCTAAGAAGAAATAAAACCTGTAACAGATACCAGGTCTTATCGAAGGCCTGACAACACCTGGCAGTGGCGTGTGCAGCAACTACTCGCCTGCCTATGTCGACCGTACCTTTGAGAGCCTCAAGGCATTCAAGAGCGGCAATGCCGTCTTCACGTTTCCCAACACACCCGTGAAGTGCGCGGGAGCTCCTCAGAAAGTCATGTATATCTCTGAAGAGTACTTGAGGAAGGTATGTACTGTGCCTTAGAAGTATCAGTCGAAAAATTCATGTTTCATATTCGTATTACTTTATCTGTAATATGAATTTGTTTAACTTCTATCAGACTGAATAATTTTACCACTTTATTATCGTACCGAATGCAGGTACCTATGCAGTGTAGGTACATACCTATGTTGGATTGTAGCTATGCAGTCCAACAAGGTTTAATACGTATCTTCTAAATTATTTTAGCTGTTCGTTACTGTACGAGTTGAGTTGTCAGTACTCAAATTGGCGTGATACCCGCAAGTAGCTGATACTTGCACTGTAACCGTAAATTCAGTTATGTACTACCATTTACTTCTACCCTACAGGAAGGAAAACGAGACAAAGCAAATATTATTTACAACACTTCCCTGCCGGTGCTATTTGGTATCCAGAAGTATGCCGATGCATTGTGGAAGGTGAGCTTTGCAATGTTACACTTGAACTATTCATGAGTAAAACTGTTGCTGTGATTATAGCAATACACTTGCTTTGCGATACTACCTTATTGGAAAATATTTTTTCTGTGACTGAAAAAGTTGTTTGTCACAATTGTTACAACTAAACAGCATCTTCTGTTCGATTTGGTTTAAGAATGTGAATTTTGATTAATCTGCAGGTAGTGAAGAGCCGCAATATTGAAGTAAATACACGGCGCAACCTGGTGGAAGTTCTACCTAGGGAGAAACGCGCTGTCTTCCAGAACCTAGACAACCTTGCTGAGAAAGTTACTACTGATGTGGGTGTGGTTGCGGAAGTTGATTGAAATTTTAGCAATAATTATTCTAACTGAGCACTATAAAAAGTTATTACTTCTAGATGATTCAGCTTTTGCTGCGAAGTTAGTTCCTCAGTCATTTACAAAATAATTTGTTTGATTCTGCCCTGTGAAAAAATTGATAATTTTTCTAAATTAATCCGTCAATGTGCATAAGAATACTTTGACGTAATACGACGGTTCATGCTCTGAATATTCCCCTTAAAAGCGGCACACAGTAACACCTCATCTTTTCTTTCAGTTCGAGCTCCTTCACGTGACACCGCCCATGTCAGCCCCCAAAGAGCTGAAGGCCTGCCAGCAACTCACGGATGCCAACGGATTTGTGAGTGTCAACAAGGACTCCATGCAGCACACGACATACAGTAACGTCTTCGGAATCGGTGACTGCACCAATTCCCCCAACGCCAAGACCGCTGCTGCTGTTGGTCAGTCAATGAGATCATTAAATTCCGTATTATTCCCCTGCTCAAGAACTATAAATATAATTTGTATCCCTACTTGGCGATCAGTAAACGGAAGTAACACTGTAACAGTAATACTATTCAAAGGGGCTCTGTGGAACTGTTATTAATATTCGCAGTGAGATTGAATAAATTGAATCTTTTATGTAATTTTTCAGTGAAGGATAAGCTTAGACGATTAGGTTGCATTTACCTACTCAGCGTTTTAGACACTGTGCCCTCAGAGTGGGACATCTGACATGTATCTGTGCTCGATCGAAGGATTTCGCGGTCTTCAGGGCATTGTTTCTCAGCGCCCCACCACAAAGCTCGCGGTGTCTGACTGCGGGTCTCAGTTGTAGGATTAAGCTGTTATGTAGGAAAAATTCCTTGCATTTCCCTTCTCTGTCTCTCTCGTGCCGGCGGCCGACGTCCCGTGTAAGCGACCTCTAGTGCGAGTGTCTTAGTTTCTTTTGCTTTTCACCTATCCCTCTTTGTCATTTCGTCTCTATGAAATGCTAACGCTGCTTCTTTCCTGTCAAGTTCAGGACAACTGAGGATTGCATATCTGAACGAGTCACCCTGACGTTCTTGACGCTAAATTAGCATTTAACGTGCCGTGAGAACAAGAGCTCTTCGTGTGCGTTAGCACCATTTCTGTATAGGACAGGGAGCTATTATATAGAAGATCCAATAAGCAGCTTGGCACATAAAATTCATTGCCGAATGTGTACGCCGGCCTGACTGTCGTAGAAGTTAATTAATGTATTGTATCTACAGCTCCGTATAAAGATCTCGTTCTCGTATGAAAGCGACGTCTCCATTACTTATTTCTCTCTAAAGTAACGTTAACGACGCATGTTCTCAGGAGAATCGTATAGAATATACATCAGTTTGGCATTAATCTTCACCCCCCACAAATTTATCAGCAATAAATGTAATGGGTAAGAATGTAACGAATTTGCTGCGTTAGAAATGGAGAAATAGTTGGCGTGCTTAGTTACAAATTTCTTAACCCGAGTTTTCAGTCTTTTTGAATATTGAGAATTTTTTTTCCTTCATCATATCATGTGCGAATAACTTAAAAGCAAAGAAAACTCCACAAAAATTCATTTTATATTTTTAGAAAATGTTGCTGTGTCCAGCTCTATCATCAGTTCGAAAATTCTAGAACCAGTAATTAGTAGTCAAAATTACAAAAAAAAAACCAACGTTAAAACCTTTTTATTCACAATTTCAAATGAGTAAGAGCTAGAAGCTGAATTTAACTTTTTCTATAAAGATAATATGAATTTTTGTGGAGTTTTCTTTGCTATTAAGTTTTTAGTGAATTTAAGATTCAGGCACTCGAGGGACATTATTACTTATGTGCAAATAACTTCAGTTCTAACTATTTCAACCAGTACCTATTTATCGCTAATTACCCTTCTTTATAGGATAGGCACCTGTTCATACTTCCATGTCAGTCTCGAGATGTTAGTAATGAACATTTGGTTATTGGTTTTGTCTGATCGCAGCTGGCCAGATCGGCGTGTTACGCAAGAACCTGTCTGCAGTTATGGCTGGCAAGCCCCTGACTGCCGTGTATGACGGTTACACCTCTTGTCCTCTCGTCACTGGTGAGAAAATGCTAGCATTTTTTGTCACTAAACTTGGATCTTGACGCTTCTAGTGCCTTTCATCTACCTCAAGTATCGTCAGGAATGGTTTCAATTTAAATGAAGCATTGTTGAACGATAACAAAAAAACAGGCGGAAGCAACATTCTTTTTCTAGATTGCAGTAATGAACATTTTACTCGCAAGTTTTAGATCTCTGGCTGCCTAGTATCTTCCTGGTGTAGCTACTCTCGCCCTTGACCTTAAATTATTTGCAGGTTATTCAAAATGCATCCTGGCGGAATTCGACTACTCAGGGCAGCCTCTGGAAACGTTCCCAATCAACCAGGCGGTGGAGCGCCGAACAATGTTCCATCTTAAGAAAGACTTCATGCCCGACATGTATTGGTTGGGACTGCTCAAGTGCGTACATATTCTTCATGACCTCATTATGCACTCATGAGCTCAAATGTTATGTGTTTTATGCAAGTTGTTGTGTAATGAAGGACATCGCTCGTGTGGTTGAAATTATTTGGAAAAGATCAGAAGTGTATTAATTATTATACACAAACGCACTAATCTGACTTTTTCTAATTTTTCCAATTTCAGTGGATATTGGGAGGGACCAGGTCTGATGAGGAGCGCCATGCACCTTGGAATGAAGTAGAGGTGAATATTATTCTATCATATTGAATATAGTGCGTTGAAACTTGATCAGATGATGGTGATAAATTACTACTTTACACATAACGGTGAAAAAAAAAACTATTTACTCATCTTCTGTTATCATGAAAACGTCTCTACATTAAACAGAAAATAACAAAACTTCTCTTATAAGATAAGCAACCTTGAATGAATACCTACATCAATAGCCATTTGGTTCTAAATTTTTTGCTTTCATCTTCATACGACGTTGGTACTTGTTTGATCGGTTGGTGGTAGTGGCGTGTTCTTCTGGTTTTCTTCATCAGCTGCAACAAATAATTAAAATCAATACTATCCCAACTAACTTTTAAATATCCCATTTGCAAGATTATACAACATAATTTAGTGGTATGAATTTCTACGAGCTAATTAATCATTATTCAACATTACAAAGACTTTAAGAAAAATTTTATCATTCACACATTTTCATTAAATTTTATTCCTGTGTTCTTTTTATATCTACCTTTCTGCTTGGCCTGTTCGGCTATCTTCTTCATTTGTTCCACCAATTTCTGTTGTTTCTGTTGCTTTTTGAGGGCTTTCTGGGTTTTCTTTTCCTCCTCTTCCTTCTGGGCAAGAATTTCTTGGAACTTTTCGTCATGAGGATCAATACGGGCGCCATACATCAGCCGCACTTCCTCAATCAAACGAGCTTGTTTCTCCTGTAATTGAAATGCGCAAAAAAATGCAGAGGTATAATATCCAGCATGACTAATCACACCGTATAAATCAATATTTACACACGTTTTGCTATCGACAATCATGGACAATCATTACGACAGAGATGCAGCAATAATCAGTGGCACGTTGCATCATCTTTCACTTTAGTTGCATAGATACCGGTACTATTTATCAAGTTTCGTTATTTATTATGCAGTAACATATCTTACCCTCGCTATGCGCGCAGCCTCTTCGTTGTCTCGTATTTTGTCTCTAACTGCCTTCTTCCACTTCTCTAGACTCTTCATATTTTCTCTCAGCGCTTTCTGCCTGATAATGAATGAACTTGTCATAACAAAATTCTCTGAAAAGGCTCTTGTACGTAAAATTTACTATGAAATATTAGGAAAAACAAAGGGTGGCGAAAATTCATCGAGATGAGCAAATATGTACCTCACAGATATATTTCCACATGAAAGTGAAGTTTTGTCCTCTAGCATTATAAAATCATAATTAACTGATGAGACTGGGAGTTAGTTCTGGTTCGATAATTTCAAATACTGACGCATTGATCCTAATATTTGTTGTATTTTACACGTAAGATAGCAAAATTATGTACTGTATCTTAAAGCCGAGCTAAGCAGCTCCCTCACCTCTCAACAGTAAACTTAATGGCTTCCTGTTTGTCATGTTTGGCCTTGGCAATCGTGTCTGGTAGACTCAATGGATTAAAAACCTGCACGAACAAATTTAATGAGCTCGGGTCTAATATGTCTCCGCACATATTGTAACAGATCCTGGTTTTATAATAGATTAATTCACTTCAATAATTTCAATTTACTCAATGGTTACGAGCTAACTACAATAATCATTTCTATTCAATCGCAAAACGAAACTCACAAAATTTGACACTGAGTTTCAAGTATAAAAGACTGAAGTATTCTCTGAATAGCAACTTTCTCGCGCTCAAATCTTCACTATCTGTATACTCGTGACCCACCTTCTCATACTCCTTCATCAGATTCATCTCCTGCTGCGAAGGCCACAGATACCTGAGCTGGACGTTAGAGCCGTCACCGTCACGGCCGTATCTTGCGCGCACGTCGCGCACGCTTGTCACGTCCTGCTCCAGCTCATCCATAGAATTAGCCTGTCACCAGAAGATACATTTATTTAAATCTGCAAAAACTGCGCGGACAACATGTCCACACTATCATTATATTATGAATCATCTGTTGGAACGAGGTGACTTAATGAATGTGGTACTTTTAGTTTCACAACGCAATTAGCGGCTATTGTCAAAGTATGCCTGTATGCTACAAGAGAAGGAAGCTACGTAACAATGAATGCAGCAATATTTGTTTTCGCCGCTTATTTTTATGTTTGAAACAGATTAACACAGGGCTCAAATTTTCAACTTGGAATAATACCTATTTCTTCCATCAATGACGTGAGTTAGGAATCAACGCTGGTGATGATGAAGAAGAATAGGGACTAAAATATCATGTAATGCATAAACGAGTAAAAGGCTAGTGACAAAGTTCATTTTTTAACGAAATGGCGTGAATGTATAATAATGCATAACATTACACCGTAAAATTGTAAAAGCATTTTCGGGTTGTTAACTATGAAAGAATGATCCAGTTTCATTTGTTTCCTTATTTTTCTGATTATTTAATCCTGCAATTGAACGAGTTGTGATTTGTAGTTTACATTATCATATGTTTAATCCTAATTTTAGAACTAGAAAGAATGGGTTATGGTGTCAATTTTATCCCCCTTCTTTCTGGTAAGATAATAATGGCTATTAACCCGTTAGGTTTGATGTTGATACTCGAGAATATTTACCTCGTTGATTCTCTTTAGATGATATATTGAATTTATTACAACTTTCTACGATCAGATGAGTTTTATTTCTCGCTCTAATACGTCGAGACACAAGGAAATGATCGATTTGCTCAAATCAGAATAAGAAAAAATTGAATGAACGGTAAAAATCGAAGATGTGAAAATGACAATTCTTTATCAAAGTGGTGCATTTAATTTAAGCGTACACATGTCAAAATTGCAAATATTTTATAAGACGTGGATAAAAAGCGTGTGGCAACATAACCAGAAATGTATTTACACCACAATGGAAATATAATTCATCATAGAAATACGTGGACTTGAAATAATGGGTGACACAGCTGCCAATTTTTAAAATGCTTTATACTAATTTCATCAGCCAGAAAAATTTATTGCATTTTGAAAATGCTACTGAAATAGATGCCTTTAGAGAAAAATATAATATATTTGACGACAACGCATAACATAAAATTTGGTACCTAGTATTTGGTATACCATTACCATTTACCATACCATTAATAACCGTATCATTACCGTATCATTTTACCGTATCATTAATAACTCACAATTTTATGCACGATTTTGTAGTGATGAGGCTTTAATCTGGACTTGTCACATAACTTGGCAAGCCTCTCTTGCTCTGCAGCTGCTTCTTCTTCCGATACCTGGGAAATATCAAGATTAGCCAGGAATTTAAAAGCAAAGAAAATACCACAAAAATTCACCATATCTTTATAAGAGAAAACGTTTTAAGAGAAAAATTCACCATAAAGATATGGTGAATTTTTGTGGTATTTTCTTTGCTTTTAAATTCCTGGTTAACTTGCGATTCAAGCAAACAAGTGATTTTAATACTTGTATCAAGATTAGATGCATAATATCTCTAAGAGATCACCAACAATCAGCTAATGATACAAAATATTACCTTAATAAAGAAAAAATTGAGGCAACCTTTCTGAAAAATTTTGATACATGAAATTCTAGGTCATATCGCACAGAAATGATAGCATTATTTTGCTGACTGTCTTAGCTCAATCAAACAATGCATGGCGATATGACAACAGACTCTAAGGGTGATTTTTTAACCATTGCTTGTCAAATAAGACCTGTAGGTCAGATTATATTAAATTCATTGATAAAAAACCATTTGATGCATTATTGCGATTAATGCGTAGCTGATTTAATTTTTCTGACTTTTATATAAATGAGCACAAAGGTGGGAAAATAGGTACTCTCTCAAGAGATATTTAATTGAAATTTCAGATGAAAGAACTTCATCCTAGATAATTAATTTCGTGAAGTCAATTGAAGTATTTGGGTCTGCCTGAATTTATATTACGTATATAATATATTCTATTGTTTGAAATCTATTAATGATTACACTGAAGGCATGGAAAATGCAGTTCCAAATTTATTAGTCCAGCCAACCATTATTAAGTACCTACTACTAATCAGTGTTTGCTTCAAATGTGAGAAAAATTATTCATTACACTACCAAACTCAAATTTGAATGGCATGCTGAAAATTAGTTCAGGGGCTATGATAAAACAAGTTTATATTCTTAATCACAACTTGAGTTCTCTTTTTCTCATCTCCACATATGTGGCCAGCAAAAATGGAAAGATTCAAAATTTCATTGTCAGGACTTCCAACTGACTCTACAACGATTATGCATCAACACTCCCAAGCTATAAACATCACCATACCCCCAAAGGAAATGAAATAGATTGCATTATTCATCTTTCAAAGATTCATTCCCAGTCAATGTTCTATTTCAAGATCATAGCAATGTGTATAAAAGTTGCTCACAGTTCTGTTATTTAAACTGAAATACACATGGCAACTTTTTCAAATAGTAAAGAGATTTTTTTTAAATAGTCTTGGTTGGATTTCAGGTTGGATTATCAACAAGTTCAAGCTATCAGGTGGATTTTATCAACAAATGAGATGTTGAGGAATGCTAGTAGGCCATCTTGGACCAGCTCTGGCTGATGCTGCATCATAGGGGTGACATGTGTTTGCCCATTTGAATTCAAGACTTGCACTGTAGGTAAGGTTGACCAATGAACACAGGTGTACAATTTTTGTCCTTGGAAATTTTTCCACTAAGGTTAGTGTCCATTTTGTTAGTTGTCGCTGGTTGTGCCTGCACAAGGGGGCTCAGGTAATGGAGAGGACCACTGAAAGAGAAGGGAAGTGAGGAAAGGAAGGGAGGGTGGCTGAAAAAGCTGCTGCCTCCATGTGACTGTTCTACAGCAAGATGCTGAGGGTTGTGGTAAATGATGGGCCAGTAAAAAGATGCTCCATAGACTAGAGGAATCCCCACACTTAGTGCAGGTGTTGTTAGGAGTTCTCCCAACCCTGAAGATGTAGGATGCCAGGGAACTGCACTGACATGGGTTGATCTTTGCCAGCACTGAGCAATGAGGGCTGGTCTGCTTTAGAGCCTATGGGAGGCAGTGGGGCAACCAAGACCCTGTTGAACACAGTGGCCTTGGTGACACAATCAGGCACCTCTCAGCAGAGAGTTCGCTTTGACACCTTGTAGGAGCTGGTAGACATCATGTCTTCTGACAGAATTAGAGCCACAAGGTGGCACAATCTGGACCAAAGGGTTGGCTTCATTAGTCTGTCTCCAAAAGGAGCAGAGATGATGGGAAAGGAGGGGAGGGAGGACTCGATGGCACTGGCCAGGAACTGCACACATGCTAGGTCCAGGCAGGCAGGTAGATGGATAACACCTGTCTTGGTGTGCAGGTGTTCAATGTGCGCCATCTTGAGGCATCTGGTGACTATCCCCAAGGCTGAGCTCTAGATGGCTTGTAGCATCCCACAGTGGAGCAGAAGGCAATGGAGTGCCAAATAGGAGCTGCATAGTTTATGATTAGATATATGGTGGTTCTATAGGTGGCAATGACATACCTTTTAGTCATCTTCCATCCTTTCCTTTCAACAGCTTTCAATTGCTTCACGTTCACTGAGGCAGTGACTATCACTTTTTGGGAAAGTGTTCATGGCACCATAAAATCCCTCTCCATATATGTAATAACCCTAGTGTTGTAAAATCCCTCTCCATATTATATGGTACCATTAAATCTCTGCCCAGAATGGCCCCTACATATACCATAAAATGGGGGTAACTTAGACTCTTGAGGTAACTTAGACCACTTTCAGTTTTTTTAACAAAAACCCCCAAAACTCAAAAACTATTTGACATAGAAAAATTTTGTCAATGGGCATTAAAGGCCTAATACTGAGGCTACGTAACACAATAGAAAAATAAAAAAATTATGCATATCTAATAGGTTAAAAAATGAGAAATGTGACCCACGAAAAAGAGCTATTATTTAAAGCCTGTCATAGAACCCCTTCCAATTTTTTTATTTTTTTGGTAAAATAACTCCAGGTTTTGGTGCATTGTAGTAGAACTCTTCTAGTTACATATGCAAATGACAAATTTGAGGAAAGTGTCATAGTTTGCAAATGGGGGGTGCCACCCCTAATGGGGGAACTTAGACCACCTTATGTCAGCCCTGAAGGGGTAACATAGACCGGCTTGGAAATTAATTTAAAATTACCATATATAACATATTTCATGTTTGATACACCTATTAATGTTTTTTCTTTAGGTTTCAGACTCTACAGTCTCATATATGGTAATTTTAACTTAATTTCCAAGCCGGTCAATATTACCCCTTCACGGCTGACATTAGGTGGTCAAGTTCCCCATTCGGAGGCAGCGCCCCCCCATTTGCAAACTATGACACTTTCCTCAAATTTGTCATTTGCGTATGTAACTAGAAGAGTTCTACTACAATGCACCAAAACCTAGAGTTACCGTATTTGGAGTTATTTTACTAAAAAATATAATTGATTTTACCACCCAGTCTAAGATACCCCAAGAGCTGGGGTAACAAAGACCATCACTTTTTTTGAAATTATATAAAAACTATGAGAGGCAGGAGTCCAGTTGGTGTTTGAGGCCATGTTAGAATGCTTCTCACTAATCATCAGTTTTTTGCAACTTTCATAATGTAATAGCTAGCCATGGTTGAGAATTGAAGAAGAAAATACAAAAGGGAAAAAAACATTGATGCTCAGACACATAAGCTTGCATTTTTGGCATTTTAAAGCTGGAAGTGCAATATATCTCTTAGCAATACCATGATTAATTGATTACCATTAATTACCTATATAATAACACAGTATAGGTATTATAGTTATGAACTCATGATTTTTATACTTAATTTTGCCTCATTACAAATCCTTTGACCATAGTAATAATCATGCACTTTGAAAGCAATAATGGCATTTTGTGAATTGAATAAGCAAATTAGCAAAAGCACTTTCATTCCTATGTAAGGTTAAAAAGACTTGAATGTTTTATGTTTAAATGTCTTACCTCATCTATTGCAGGATTCAGTTCTTCTTTTTTTAGGCTTGCTTCTTTCATAAGGGAACATGATGAATGAAAGAATCTATTGAATTTAAAACAAAATCTAAGATCAGAAAGTAATGTTGACAATGTAACTTGTAGCATCATGCAAAACAAAATGTATCTGAAAATAAAAACTGATAATAGACCAAACAGTCTCAACATATGTTGTGCCATACGCATACGGCATACTCTATGACTCTATGTTCAGTGAGTATGTTGTGCCTCACTGCCCTGGCACCCAGTGCCCACAAGCAACAAGCCCACAACTATAAACCATTCAGGCATTCACACTTAGCTCTTTTTGTATGCGGTAGCAGGTAGCTCGAGACCATGCGCTTTGAAGATTAGAAGCCAGTTAATAAGACATCAGTGATCAGTGGAGTCTTGGAGATGAATATAACTGAATTCAACTTTTAGCTCTGGGCCATTGTTCTCGGAATCTCGGCCATCTCAGGTGTGCTGCTGTTAAGATTTACACAATAACATTTTCAAAGAATTATCAGTTGCAAATTCATCAGACTTTCAAAATTATACTAGCCTAGACTGCCACCTGCCAGTGAACCAGTGGACTTGTTTGACAGTCTGCTAAAGAAAATAATGCCACTCATCCAGAAACAGGATGATAGAATAGAGTTCAATCAGTTCATGAGTTGGAATTCATTGGCAATGAAATTCATTTCACAATGAAATTGCTGCTGCAAATCATCAGCAAATGCAAGTTGCAACATATGTATTTTCTTGCAAACCTTATTAATTGTGACTAACCGTGACTTGAAATTGAAATGCGTGGTGACCTCTGGTCACGACCTAAATAACGGTCATACACGCTGCCTAAAAACTTTTAGTAGCATCAAAAAATTAAAAGTTCACACTAATATCATAACAATTTTGTTTTGTTTAACAAAAAAACTTGTACACAAAAGTTTTTTGAAACTTCAACTATTTTCACCAGAGCTTGTTCTTTTGCATTTCGACTTTTATACTTCTTTGACTGAACTCTCAACAGCCCTACAGGCAGGGTTGGTGATTTTTTTGATTTTTTTTTTAAATCAAACAAATCAAAAATCAATGCTTTTTTTTTATTTTTTCATGATTTTTTTATTTATTTAATATTTTTTTTCACCTTTTTTGTATTTTTGAAGTGTTATTTTTTATGTTGCTATTAGCCTACTAACAATAACAGTATATGGATCATAATGGATGGCTAAAAAGGGCACTTATTGCCTTCAATAATGGCCAATAGGCCAAGGTGGTGTTTACCACTTAGGGATTTTTGGGTAAACAATTATTGATAAGTCTATTCATTAGCTTTGTAAAGTTTGTATGGAGCAAGGTAATGAGCTAAATATTGACCATTTAACTGGCTTCAATATACAAAAACACTTCAGGAATGCAGATCTTCTAAACATTGAAGAGTCACATAACAGACAGGTAGCTGATAGCACAGTCACAGTGCACAGCACTATCAATAGAACTACTAGTTTTATGTGAAATTATGTCCTATAAATCTACCAGACTCTAACCTCTAGGGCCTAGGCTCTATACACACCGACTAGTAGTTCCCATTTAATTCAGACCAATAAACCAATAGTCTAATACTTAACATAAACTGAACGATAACCAAACAAACCTCATTCGACTTGAAACAAGACTCAAGTTATGAGAAAAGCCAACACTGTTTGAAATAAACATGTGCACAATTCAAATATTTTATATCCATTCACTGCATTTAATTATTTTATACACAGTCTTAACATTGTAATTGTTTTGTTTCTAGTTTTAAATTCACATATTTAAAGATTGAAATTAAATATTTTAATTAGAATACTCGTATTAGGGTGGTAAATCTTTCTAATTGCCTAAAAGGTCAATACAATCTCAACCTCTCAATATACAGGGTGGGGGAGAACCAATTGAGCAGTTTTGAGGTAAAATAAATGAGTAATGGAGGTACATAAAGAAGAAAGTTTATTTTCCTAGAAGTTAGCATACCATACCATTTAGAATACTTATGTTTTGAAAACAATATCTGGAAGCTGGGGGCTATTAGCTGCAACACACTGTTGGAGTCGTTTTCGGAGGAGGGAGTAACCGTGATAGTGAATTCCGATCGCTATGCTGCAATGTTGTAAAATTTCTTGCGGCCCATGATGGAAAATATTGTTGAAAATGAAGCATTGGGAGACGTGTGGTTCCAGCAGGATGGGGCTACAGCTCACATAGCCCGAATGTCACCCAATGTTTTGAAACACATGTTTCCCAGAGGTCTGGTGTCTCTGAGGGGTGATTTACACTGGCCTGTGAGGTCACTTGATTTGAGCATTTGCGATTTCTTTCTTTGGGGACATCTAAAAGAGAAGTTCAGAAGTTGCCCTGAGGCCCTCACACCCTACCACAGCTAAGGGGATGGATTATTGCAGCAGAGGTTATGGCCATACCACGCCATATGTGTGAACGTGCTGTAGGAAACTTCCAAGAACGACTCCAACAGTGTGATGCAGTGAGCTAACAAACCCCATTTTCCTGATATTGTTTTCAAAACATAAGTATTTTAAATGTTATGTTATGCTAATCTTGAGGAAAATAAACTTTCTTCTTTATGTACCTCCATTACTCTTTTATTTTGCCCCAAAACTGTTCAATCAGTTCTGCCCCACCCTGTATAAGCTAGCTAACACATTTAAAT